AATAAGTGTGTACAAATGTGAGTATGTGCAAAGCAGCCCTTGCTGTTTATGTCGTATTTCACTGGAAATGATTTATCTAATCAACAGTGCTGTTCAGAAGATCTGTGGTCCAACTTACAGGTTATGTGTAAGTCAAGAGCAATATTTCCCCTGCTGCAGTGCATGGGTAGAATATTTACAATAGTCACTGATGGTCAGTGTTCTAATAAAACAGGTCCAGTATTGTTGGCCCCTAGCCCTGTACAACAAGCTAACTTGAGTATTTAAAAGGACAAAAAAATAATCTCAGCCTTCTGGACAAAATCTGCATGCTTCAGTTCATGTTTCAAGAATTACATAGCAGCAATACATAAACTTTTAGATTTGATGCATTGTAGATGTAGCTGTATTGCATGTAGTCTTGGGTAAAGGTGCATTAAGCAAGGTTAGTCAAAATTTGTCAAGGTCTTTAGTGGTTAAGTAAGGTTAATTCAACAACATTGGAATGATTTTTTTCCTTGAAGCAGACTCCCATTCCCACCCATGTACAGAACCTATGGTGGCCAGTGATTTCAGTTAGAGTTAGCGTTGCCAAGGAGTGTGAAGACATCACTATCAAGAGATGGAGTAGGCTGTTTATTAAAGGCATAGCTATGTTATTTAAAGTATGTAAAGTTAACAACAGTGAATAGCTTGGCTATAGGCTTGTTTATATCAGGGATGTTCAGCATCATATGGCTGCAGTACTGCTCTCCCCACAGCAGATGTCTGTTTATTGCAATTGACATATTTATGACATACCGTTACATTTTCCTTATCCAGAGTGACTTCTAATCATTTTAATCAAGTGCTCTTGGTAGAGTGGCATTTACCAGAAAAAAGTATTGGTGCAGCTAATAATGCTAACTAATGCCATAGTGACAATCAGCTGAAAAATGCACAAGACTTCATACCGATTAGCTGCTTTGACAATGGTCCAGAGTGTCTTTGCTATCCTGTTTTTCTGAAGAATGGGGAGTGTCTATAAAAAGACAGACAGACAGAGACAAGCAGGCCATCACAAACCCCATCGCAGCCACCACTATCGGCACTATTGGCACCAAGGTATTTTGTGCTGTTTTTCTTAGTGAAAAAAAAACATAATTATAATCATCATGACAGAGATTTAAAATTAGGTCTAGATCCTCCTTGTTGTCTTTCAAAACCATATAAATGTAATGTCTAAATGACACTACATGTTTCAGGAGCGGAGATTTGCTACCAATTTGAATCATTTTAATCAGGGAAATCAGTTTGCCATAGTGCGACAGAATTTGGGCCAATACATAATTTTTAATGATAGGTGGTACATTTGACAGGGCAACCTTTTTCGATGGAATAGACAGTGGAAGCACTGGGGTGAAAACTCCACTAACCGCTACACCACTCTCTACCAGCTTGTTTGCCAATTCAACCACAACTCTGGCAGGACCAGCTATGACAGCATAATTAAAAGGGTATGAGAGAAACCCCCACCCCCCGAGACATAAAGTGACCAGCCATTCCACCATCAACAAACCTGAGTGAACATATGAAAGTTTGCAACAGCATTCAAACATCCCAACTTACTAACTGTTCCAGGCAGACTCTTCACTGGTGTTCCACAAAGCTCAGTACTTGGTCCTCTTCTGTTCTCCCTCTATACTCGATCTCTTGGTGAGGTCATATGTTCACATATGTGAGTGGGTTTTCACACCACTGCTATGCAAATGACTCAACCTATCCTCTCCTTTCCTCCCTCAGACACTCATGTTTCTGCTCAGATCTCAGCATGTCTGGCAGATATCTCATCATGGATGACAGCTCATCATCTGAAACGTAATTCCAGCAAAACTGAACTGCTGCTCATCCCAGGTGATGCATCCCCATGTCAGGATCTTGTGATCTCCCTGGACAACTCCCAGATCTCACCTTCTGTCACTGCACACAACCTTGCGGTAACCATGGTAATCAATCACTTTGGGGTAATCAACTGTCCTTCTCCTCTCATACTTCTAAAATGGCACGCTCATGCAGATTTCTCCTTTATAACATCAGAAGGATTCATCCATTTCTATCCACAGAGGCCACTCAGGTGCTTGTTCAGTCCCTTGTCATTTCAAGACTAGACTACTGCAACTCACTCCTGGCAGGTCTGCCTCTGCATGCCATTTGCCCTCTGTTGATCCAGACTGCAGCTGCATGACTTGTTTTCAACCTTACCAAGTTCTCCCACTGCTGGCTTCCTGTAACTGCCTGCATCAGATTTAAAACACTGATGCTTGCCTACAAAGCCAAAAATGGACCAGCTCCCACCTAACTTAAAACATTTAATCACTCCCCACACAGCACCACACTCTTTCTGATCCTCCAGCACTGCTAGACTGGACCCACCATCTCTCAGGGTACAAGGAAGGCATGCATCAAAGCTCTTCTCTGTTCTGGCACCTAGATGGTAGAATGAATTTATCCTAGATGTCCGAACAGCTGAGTCACTGGCTGTCTTCAAACAACGACTAAAGACCTTTATCTTCATGGATCTTCATGGAGTACTTAAATTAGCCCATGAGCCCTCCAGATCTGAACTGCCCAAGAGAAAAGCTATTAACAAAAGGCTTAACTAAATAAATAGGTTTTCAGCCTAGGCTTTGAGACTGTGATTGGAAGGTTGGAAGCCTTGGAAGGCTGCTCTGCATATCTGGGGCTTTGTAAGAAAAAGCTCTGCCCCCTTCAAGGTACCATTAAGGAGCCTGCACCTTTTGACTGAAGCAGGTGTGGCAGATCATAAAAGACCAAAAGTATGCTCAGTTACTGCAGTGCGAGACCATTCAGTGCTTTACCGTTCATTAGTAGTATTTTATAATCAATGTGAAATTTTACTGTGAGACAATACAGTTTGGATAAGATAGGGGTGATGTCATCAAATCTTCTGGTTCTAGTGAGGACTCTGGCTGCTACACCAACCTAGAGATAACAAAAGCACAAACTACTCTTTCTGCATCTTGTAGTGACATATTTCTTATCTTAGTAATATTTCCGAGATGAGGTTATCCTAGTAATATTATCTACATCTTCAAATGAGAGACTGGGGGTCAATAATCACACCAAGGTCTTTCACTGAAAGTCCATCCAGAGTTACTCAGAAAGTTACACATCATATAGTGTCTAATGTCCTTTACACATTCCTCAACTTTATTAAGCTGGTGTGTCTCATCTGGCTTTGCTGAAACATACAACTGTGCATGATTAGCATAACAATGGAAGCTAATACATGTTTACGAACAATTGTACCCAGAGATAATATATATAAAGAAAAGAGCAGTGGGCCTAAAACAGAGTCTTGTGGAACACCAAACTTTACTTTAGTATGCATATAGAAGTCACCATTTACATCTAAAAATAATAATAGCGATCGGTCTAATAAGACCTGAGCCAGGATAAAGCAGTTCCCTTAACTCCAACAACATTTTCTAGTCTATCAAGAAGAATATTATGAGGTATGGTGTCAAGAGCTGCAGTAAAGTCAAGCAACACAAGCATGGAGACATAATCCTGATCCGAGGCCAATAGTACGTCATTTACCACATTAACCAGCACTGTCTCAGTACTGTGATAAGGCCTAAATGTGGATATTAAATTTTTTGTATGCAAGTACGAGTCTAACTGCTCTATAACAACCTTTTCTAGGATCTTGGAGATAAAGGGGATGTTTAACATTGGTCTATAGTTAGACAGCTGACAAATGTTGAGGTAGGGGTTTTTATTCAGTTTTTAATCAGTTTTTAACTAGGGTTTGATAACCGCTAGTTTAAAGGATTAAAGGAGCAATTGATTGTTTTTAATAGGGGTTTGTAAATGTGTAGGTAAAGGATCTAATACACAAGTTGATTTTAAATGGAAATTAGCTAAATTAGTTCAGTTTGTTGGATGGGAGTAAAAGATTCTAATTGCGCTCTGACGTGGTTATATTGTTTTCTTTAAAATTTTTTTGCCTAATATTTTAAATTTTGTAATTGAAATAATTCATAAAGTCACTGTTACTACATACTGTTGTTTTTTGTGCTTCTGTGGTGGTCTTGTTCCTAGTTGTTCCGAGTGTAAAGTGTGGTGGAACATTGACTCTAAGCATTCAGTCATCTGATCAACTTCTGTGGCGTCAGACGGTGATCCAATAAAAGTCAAAAACTCTGGGAGATTTTCAGTAAAACTATGTACAGTATCTGAAGTGATTGTATGCTTGATGCAGTAGTCTGGCAATGTGCATAAATTTTGACTAAGACACATGAGATGAGGTAATGAACTGAGATAGCGCCAGACTGGGGTAGTATAACTATGTTTTCTATATTTAATCTAAATGTCAGTATTAAATCTAAGGTGTGTCCGCCATAATAAGTGGGTACTATTATATTCTGATTAACCCCTATTGAACACTGTTCTCAGGGGGTTTTGTGGATTAGTAAAATGATTAGTAAAGTCTCCAACAATTACTGCTTTGTTTACAGAAACAACCAGGTTCGAGATGTAATTCACAAAATTTATGTAGAATTTCAAATATGGCTTTGGGCATCTGTAAATACTATTTAGTGGAAATGACTGAGCAGACTTATTTTCTGTGGCTATGTACAGTTAGGTCCATAAGTATTTGGACAGTGACACAATTTTCATAATTTTGCCTCTGTACAACACCACAGTGGATTTGAAATGAAGCAATCAAGATGTAATTGAAGTGTAGACCTTCAGCTTTAATTCAAGTGGTTTAACAAAAATATTGCATTAATCATTTAGGAATTACAGCAATTTTTTCATAGTCCTCCATTTTCACAGGCTCAAACGTAATTGGACAATTAACTGATAAGCGGTTTCAGCAGATCATTGGTCCGCATATTTGATTTGGCACAGTTTTTATGCTGGATGCCCTTCCTGACACAACCCTCCCTAATTTTATCTGGACTTTGGACTGGAACTGGGAGTGCACTATTGTGTGCAGCCCCAGTGGCTGGGGTTGGTTCCTTGGCCAGCAATCGAACCTGGGCCACAGCAGTGAGAGCACCGAGGACTAACCACTAGTCCTCCAGGAACCCAAGTATGCTTTTCATTTACTGAAGACAAAACTCAAGGCAGAAAGACCTACACACAAGCAGCAACTGAAGGTCGCTGCAGTAAAGGCCTGGCAAAGCATCTCAAGGGAGGAAACTCAGCATTTGGTGATGTCCATGGTTTCCAGACGTCAGGCATCCAGGTATTAAAAATAATCCTAATATTTATGATTGTTAGTTTGTCCAATTACTTTTGAGCCTGTGAAAATGGAGGGACTATGTAATAAATGGTTGTAATTCCTAAACAGTTAATGCAATATTTTTGTTAAACCCCCTGACCAAATACTTATGGACCTGACTGTATGTTATGTTAGTATAAAGAAGTTCAAATGAGTTGAATTCATGTCCAGGTTATAGCGTTGCCACATATTTTCCATTTTTTATATACATGTGTTTAATGTATGTATGTATGTATGTATGTATCACCACATCTTGCATGTTGTTTCTGTCCTGTTGCCGCCATCAGCAAAGTGTTTGGTTCCATGTTCACATTATCCCAAGACTCCACAAGGTCACCACAGAAACACAGAATGAATACAGAAACTCACCACGAGTTACCATCTGCAGATGAACCTGTCCGAAAAAGTGAACAGAACTTTGAAAGTCATGGTCTCGTCTTCTGCGGGACACCAGCATGATACCTGGGACCAGTGGATCCCTGAGCTCTGGTTTGACCATAAACACCGTGCAGCATGAAACAGCTGGGAGAACGCCGGCAGAACTCATGACAGGCAGACCCCTGAAGGGACCACTGGAACGACTGATACATCATCCCCCAAGGCCAGACCAAGCTGCCTACTTTACGGTGGAGAAACAGGAAATAATGTCAGAGTATGTAGTGTTGCCACATATTTTCCCGTTTTATATACACATGTGTTTAATGTATGTCAACACAGGTTGCATGTTGTTTCTGTCCTCTTGCCTCCATTGACAAAGTGTTTGGTTCCATGTTCACGTTATTGTGAGACTCCACGAGGTCACCGCGCAGTACACATCATCAAAAACCAGAGTGAATATCTGCAGAAGTGAACTTAAGCCAAGAGCTGTCTGAATCAACAACGCTGTAGATTATCATTAGATTAAAGACCTTAATCCATTGTATATATTTCTAAAGAGGACTTTTTTTTTTTTTTTTTACACCAAGAGAGAGACTGTGGGGCTGGGGGTATTGTATACATTTGGTGTCTTTCATTTATATAATACACTGCAAACCATTGAACGTATTTGGCGTTGTTTGTTGCTCTTTTTCCACGCACTGTTGGAGTGCGGATTCAATTGTAATTAGTGCCTCTCCAGGGTGAGTTGTTACAGAATGGTGGCCCGTACGGGGTTCTTTCAGTGTGGAAAAAAAATGGAGTTCGCTAATGAGCACAATGTTATTAACACTGGTGATGAGAACGCTGAAGGTAATACTCTGGACGAGGTCGTGGAGTTTACGGCAGGCCTGTTTGTGGCTAGGCGCAATCCCGATGCTGAAATAACATCAATGCTTAGTCCTCTGTATATTTCTGATGATGATGGTGATGATTCAGATACTAATGTGCCTACTACTGATGTATGTGCTATGCATACAATGCAGACAGAACAAGTAAAAAGTGATTTATTGGCCTTAAAAACACAAGTCAGAACTCTAGACACAGATCATAAACAATCGATTAACAGCACTCTTAATAGGGAAGCTGTGTTATGGGAGGCAGTGGAGGCTAGCTTGGAGACGCTGCAGAATTCTGTCCAGCAATCTTTGGAAAAACACGTAAGGGAGGTTGTAGATTGTTTCCTCAGGAGGGATGCTAAGTGGGAGAGTCAGAATAAGTAGGTTAGGCAAACTAGTACACCTACACTTTCTAGACTACATATTCACACCCTAGCTACCCCCATATTCCCACTATACACCGTCCCATATCCCATCATTATAACTCTCAAGCCTGTTCCACCTCCCACAATCATGAGCAGTACATATACAGTAAGCCAACCCATACATACCCAGCCACCAACCACCTCACCCTCTCACATCTTAGATGGTGCTTCCTCATTCTGTGCAAGACCTCCTATCCACTTAGACTTTCTCTCCTTTGGCGAATCCTGCCACCCCTCTGATGTTCTCAACTTCATTGAGCAGTATGAGAACTTCCTTGACATTTGGCCTCTACCCAGTGTCGAACTCATGGGAACCCTGAGCATGATGCTGAAAGGACCGGTGCTGAGTTGGTGGAAAGCAGAGAAATCAAAAATACACGATTGGCAAACTTTCAAAGAAGCTTTCATGACTGCTTTCCTTCCAGATGATTACCTTGCCGAAGTTGAGGACAAACTCCGATCGCTGGTACAGCAGCCAGGCCAGAAACTAAGAGACTTCGCCTATGTTTATCAAGCCCTTTTCCTCAAGTGGAAGTCGGACATCACAGAGGAGGAGTTAGTGAGCCGCATCCTCAATAACATCAAACCGAGGGTGGCAGGCTGCCTGTCAGGCTAGACTGTGAGTACCATCGAGCAGCTAGTCAAGGTCAGCAACATGGTTGAGAAAGACTGTATGGGAGCAAAAGATTACTGGCAGAAGGTGGGTATGCAGAACTCAAAAGACAAGAGCTGCAAGAAAGCACCTGATTGCCATAGCCCTAGAGACCTTCCTGGGGTGTCCATCACATAGCACTACTCCAGACTCCTCACACCCTCCTTACTTCAGGTACCACTGACTGTGGGTGGTAAGCTGGTGGAGGCGATCTTGGATACAAGCAGCACTGATGCAGTGAAGCCTGTGGGGTCAGCTTGACGAAGACCTGACAGATATGGTTACACACACTCAACAAATGTTCATCATGGCTGATGGAAAGATCACTCTCGAGCTAAGTGACCTGTTATGTATGAGTGGCATGGTTCTTCTTGGACATTGAATACTCACATCATGGACGACGCTCATCTGACATTTCCCCTTATCCTTGGTTTGGACTTCATCAAAGCAGCGGCAGCTATTCTTGATGTTGCCAACAACCGCTATGGGCTGAAGTCAGAGCGGTGGTATGCCTTCCATCCATGTCTCCATCACCAATGCCCGGAAACGCCATTGCCTCCAAAACCCACTCACTACCAACTAAGTTTGGCTGTGACACTCTATTATGCCTTACTGCCGGAGCCTGTGATACCATGCCTGACAGCCTCCAGCAATGAGACAGCTACGTCCTGGGACTCCAACAACCAGCAGGAGTTGATGAAACTGATGAAAGCATGGCTGTCCATCACTTCCAATGTGTTGGGCCAGATGGCTGTGGTAACCCACTGGATTTCCACCTTGGATGATGTACCTGTTAAAAGCAGAGCCTACAGAGTGTCACCAAAAAATGTATATGTACTGCATCACATCCTTGAATACTTGGAAGGCGCCTCCTGGTTCACGACCTTGGATTTGCAGTCTGGATATTGGCAGGTGGAAATGGAGGAAGAAAGTAAGCAGAAGATGGCCTTTATCACCACCAAGGGCCTATATCAGTTAAAAAAATGCCATATGGGTTACGCGATGCTGCTGCAACATTCCAAAGGCTGATAGGGCAAGCGCTGAATGGGCTAAGGGGAAGGATCTGCTTGGGTTACATTGATGATTATCGCGAGACCCCATGAGGTCACCGCGCTGTACACATTATCACATGCCTGCGCGAATGTTTGTGGAAGTGAACTTATGCCAAGAGAGAGACAACAGAGTGCGCTCAGCTATTTGAAGCGACAGCGCTGTGGATCATCATCATGCTTCGCCAATAATATCACCACTGAGGAAATACTGGTGGGGACTATTTTTTTTCTTTTTTTATTTTTGCGCCTCTCGGAAGATTTGCCAGCGAGATTAGTTGTATGGAATGGAGGATCCGCTTCAATATGGCTTCATGAAATATAGTGATGGCAGACCACAGTGCACGCTGTGCTTGAAGATTTTATCTGTTGAAGTGCTGAAACCGTAAAAACTCAACTGACATCTCACAACAATTCATCTGGAGCATGCAAATAAAAGTGAGGATCTTTTCCAGAGAAAGAAAGAACAATATGTAAAACAAAAAGTATGACTGACTAACAGTCAATTCAATTTTATTTGTATAGGGCTTTTAACAGTGGACATTGTCACAAAGCACCTTTACAGAAATAAATACATTCAAATTAAATTAATCCAAAATAAATTGTAAATAAATTGTAAATATGTGAATTTATCCCTAATGAGCAAGCCAGAGGCAACAGTGGCAAGGAAAAACTCCCTGAGACAATATGAGGAAGAAACCTTGAGAGAAACCAGACTCAAAAGGGAACCCATCCTCATCTGGGTGCTAACAGATAGTGCAATTATAAATAAATCGAATATGAGATCCCCAAGCCATCTCCACGGCCCCCAAGTGGCACCATCCCGAGCAATCCCACTGATCTTCAGGCCATCCATGTGGGGCCACCCCCAGCAGCAGCGAGCAATCTCAACGATGAGAACTCCAACCAGAAGTAGGGCATCAGGATAGATCAGGCAGGTCCGGAGAGCAGAAGGGGTCAGGATCATTGGTATCTCAGGAGTAGCATGTGTTGCTCGACAGAGAGACAGAGAGAGAGGGGAAGACAGAAGGAGAGTTCGTTAGGTAAGCTTTTGTCCCGAAATGGTTAAGGACAACATTCTTTGCATGCAGAGTGCAAGCAGGGACTGCGGCAAGATTAGCTGTGACAGCATTACTAAAAGGGAGAGCCAGAAGATGGCACAGACACCAGGGCACCCTGGGACATAAAGCAGCCAGCCACTCCACCATCGACAATGCTGAGTGAACGCTTGAGAGTGGGAGGGAGACAGCATCCAAACATCCCAGTTCACCACAACACTCTATGCCTGTGAATCCTCCAGACCTGCGCCTTTAGCTAAGAAAAAAAACTATTCACAAACGGCTTGACTAAACAAATATGTTTTCAGCCTAGACTTAAACATTGAGACTGTGTCTGAGCCCCGAACACTAACTGGCAGGCTTTGTTC